AATAAAAACAATTATAGGTTGAAATGCAAGCAAATAATAGACAAAAGATCCTTGTAACATATACCAAGGACGAAATATGATATTTCTAATAGATTGGCAATGGTTGCCAATGTTTTAATACCACGAAGGGATTTTAAATTGACTCTTTTAGTGTTTTAATCTTATCCTATCTTTTTAAAATCATATTTCTATATAACTGATGATCAATTTTTGAAGGCGTCGGTGTGAACCTAATTTTCACATTTCAAAAAATTCAAATTCAATTCTTTAAATAGAGCGTTGCTATGGAAATTAGCCGATAAAATATGCCTAAAAATCTGAAAAATATTCTGTTCCCTTGGATACGTACCCTTGTATGTAGATTCCCAAAATTTTTATGATTGATATTTATGAACATCTAACCTGACTTTCAATATTGACTACCACCCAATCTCTACCTGGATGCAAAAAATTGGCACATAGGGTTTAATATTAATATAAAATTAACAAAATCGAACATTTTCACTTCTTGGTAACAATAACAACAGTGTTGAATTTCTCATAAAACTTTATCAATGTATGATATTCAACCTTAGTTCTACCAGATAAGTACTATTCAAGGTGAGTCAAATAATATGTTGTTTGACTAAAAGGTAAGTAAATTCCTAAGACGGTAAAAAAATATCACTTTAAACACTGTAAAGTAACAATTAATCCCAGTTTTTCTTATGTTGTGGGTGTTGCAAGGTCCTAAGGATGTATATGTGTCAGTCATGAATTTTATTGTTTTTCCTCAAGATAGTAGCATTAACATAATCTTAGCAACAAATTTTGCATGGTTACACTGTGTTACCATGGCAACCATGAAAGTTATTTTTAGAATAATACCTAATTACTTAAGGTCAAATATTTTTATCGTTTTTCTTAGGTTGTTGATTGAGTTTCATCATGTAACACCTATCATAAGTGAATATTGAGCGTTTTTTGCATTTTTCAGCATCTAAAATGTATTCCAAATGTACCTATGGTTACCACTTACTTACAGACAAATTCTAAATAGTTTCTTTATAGCATAAGTGGCAACAAGGTGTCATGTTTTTGTAAGAATGGTTTGTTTGTTTTCTTAGTCTTTATTAAGGCTTAATAAAAATTCAAAGTAGCTGAAAATCTCAATTTTTCCAACTTTTCTGGCTGTTACCATGGCAACCAAGAAACATAGCAACGAAATTTCATTTCATATATGTTTCTGGTATCAAGTTGTAATAATCGGCAAAGATTCATCAAAATCGGTGACCATGCGTGGCAAAGAATTTTAAGTGGTTACAGAGAATCGCTAATAGTCAGGAGTTATGTATTCGCAGCTTAGTTTTAATAACAACAATATGTAACTTTTATCATCTGGATGTTGTTTGCAATAATTTTCCAGATAGAAAAATACAATACAAATGGAAAATTATATAAAATAAATGGAAAATTGTACAATCCAAATGACAAAGTATACGAAACTGATGGAAACTCGTACAATTCCATTTGAAAATTATGCAATACAAATAGAAGATTACACAATACAAATCGACATATGGACAATCGTACAATACAAATGGAAATGTTCCCGATACAAATGAAAAATTATATATATATATATATATATATATATATATATATATATATATATATATATATATATATATGCATGCAACGTATGACATACCAAATTTTTCTATAAAAACATTATCGCCATTTGGCCATGAAAAGATACCTATAATAAAATCAAATACCTTTAAATTATTCACTTTGTTTCGATAGCGTTTTTAATTTGAAAGAGAGTATTCAAGTAGGTAGGAGATGATTCAAAAACACATGCACCATTAACTAAATGAATTTTTCATTTAACATGAAATCAAACGACCTACAAGATAAAAGCAATAAAAAAATACACTAAGCACCTTACATGAAGTGTTCAATGGAGAATCCAGGATTCTTGAAAGGGGGGGGGGGGTAGAGGGGTCCAGGCCAAAACAAAAAAAAATCGGTCGCGAGGGGAGGGGGTGATCTCTGCTCCCCTCAAATCTGCAAGTCGTCTTCATACATCATCAAATCAAATATCTTTGAAGTATTCACTTTGTTTCGATAGCGTTTTGAATTTTGAAAGAAAGGATTCAAGTAGGTAAAAGGTGATCCAGAAACAAATGCACCATTAACTAAATGAATTTTTCATTCTACATGAAATCAAAAGGCCTAGAAGATGAAAGCAATAAAAAAATACACTACACTTAGGCACCTTAAATGGCGTGTTTTTTGGAGAATCAGGGATTCTTGAAAAGGGGTATATATGGGTTGCCTTAAGACTCCCAATGTTTCCAGGCCAAAAGAAAAAAAAATGTTCATCTTAAATTTTGGTCGCGAGGGGAGGGGGTCCTCTGCTCCCTCTGAATCCGCCAGTCGTCTTCATACATGTACATCATAAAAATAAAGAATAGTACATTTAAGGAACAAAGGAATAGAAACAGTATTATCAATTTTGCCAAAGATTTTTTTTAAAATTACATCTGCTAAGAACATGGATAAAAATGCATGTTTATAAATCTTTTTTCGTAGCTTTATTTCCTGACGCCACGAGCGTCAGACAGTGTAAAGATAATTTTTTCCATGGTCCGAAACTAAGAGATCATACTTAGTTACTTAGTGAGCTAGATTTTGTGCAAGCTGATTTACATCGGAATTTGTTACCTGCATTTTAACAAATACAGTTTGCAGAATTTTGTGATTATTATTTGATTCTTATTTTGAAATCAATCATTAGATTGATCACCGTTCCTTATCATCACAACTTCATTTCAAACTTTGAAAATGACAAAACACGTGAAAGTTGTAATACATGTACATATTTCTGAAAATTAAAACCGCAATAATTATTACACCTGTATGTCCGATGCATAGTACCAAACACATGTGCATGTAAAAAAAATCACATTCTTTCATAATTGATGTGAAATTACCATACTGAATGTAAAGTCATTCTGAGAGCAAAAACAATCATAGTTGTAAATTAGCTTTGTATTTAGTTTTGCTCAATCACCTATTGTATCATATCAGTTATTACATCGTTTCAAGCCACGGTCCGGAGTCCGCATATAGCTCTCTCCAGAATGGGAGAGGATCGTACAGTTTGGCCGTGGTTTGCGACGATGCGGTTATTAGTACCCAATACTTTTTAATACGGTGACACCCGTCGTGAGCTCTCTTTATTGATCAAGTAGTTGGAGTAATTCGTAGTCAGGTTTACTTTAAAAACAATGGCTTTTCAAATAGTAGGTCAATCAGTCAAAATACGACCCAAGCATACCTTAGGTTGTTTTTGCAAAAATAGGTCTTTAACGACCATGGAATTTACAAAATGTTGAGTTTAAACGAGATTGTAAAAGCCCTGTAACATCAATTTATTTATCAGATGCCTGCCTCAGTTTAAAAGAATGATCGTGCTCAAAATGTGCTTTTCCGTACAAATCGGTTGGAAGATTTTTTTTTAACTTCCCTTCGAGAATTTTTCACTCATGATGAGACGCCATCACTTGCCATTGGGGGTTTTATATTTATACCTGTACTCGGCACTTGCAGCTTTTGAGCAGTGAGGGATCATTTTCATGCTAGCACCTACTGCGACACGGGACCTAGGTTTATACACATAGGTCTCGTATGGCAGTAGGTGCTAGCATGAAAATGATCCCTCACTGCTCACTTTCTCATCTGAAGGACTGGTCTCCACGCCCCGCAGTGGGATTCGAACCCGCGGCGTAAGGATCAACTCCAAGACTCTGGAGCAAACGCTCTAACAACTGCGCTACGCGGAATACGAAGGCATACACCATACGCAGATGATTGTGGAATATTTTTAGATAAATAGTGGCAGTTGACGATGTAGAAAAGCTGAAGTCATTCGGTTTAGTCGTTATTTGGCGAATAATATCTATACTTCGTAAAACTGTCATATATGAAACAGATGTCAGAGTCTGTAATCTTTTTTTTCCTAGTACACTATATATAGGCTGTTTACCTAACCTGACATCTGGACCAGGTGTAAAAAAAAGTTCATAAATCTAATGAATGACGCATCTTATATTTCCCGATATTCAGTCAATATCCTGTGTATTCTTAACAAATGATTAATTAAAGTAGTTAATAGTTAAAAGTTGTTTAATAAACTTCAACATCTCTTTACATATGGATTGTGACAATGATATTTCAACTTTAAGGAACACCTAGGTTTTTGATAATAATTATGATACCGAATTTATATTCATTCCTAGCAAAGAAATGACATGTAGATTTTATTTTACTTATTTGGTATTATGTTAACTACCCGGAGAAAGTTGGAAATACACGTTAATACCAGTTAAGTTTCACAAGTGATAAAGTGACATTGAAATAATGCCACCTTTAAAATGATGTTTGTTTGCCCTCTCCCCACTCAATATCCAAAAATTGGGTCGGTAGGTAAGAAATTTTTTTTTCTCAGAAAATTTAAATATCAATGCTTAATTTTTTAAATATATTGTTCAGAATACATAAAAAAACTAACTGCTTCCTGAAGGTCAAAAAAAGTTTTGAGTCGGGCCATTTTTAGCCAGTCGGTCGGGAGAGGGCAACCAAACAATTTTTTTTTTAAAGATGGCCCAATTTAAATATTCAAGGTCCAAGTTTAAATAAAAAAGGACGTTTTATATACCATAACCTGACTTAGTAATAACATATAAACAAAACATAGGAAAAGTATTTGTTTGGGGAGTTGGGTTTAAAAATAATCCTTATTCATTTTCTTGTGCTCTAACCCTCTTTTCGCTTAAAGCTTTATCTTATTTGATTGCAAATCCCCATTTCATTTCAAGGTCTGTCAGTCTTGCATTATTAAGTGCGGTTACAAGAGAAGCTTAACGCTTCATTCCACTTCAAAAATGAGAAGTGGCATTATTTTATGTGCAATATATAAATTACTCAGAAATACAATTTATTCATTATTGTAGATAATTTAAGCTGTGAAGACCATGACCAACATCACAATAGTCTCCGCATTCTCAGACAACTCCAGTACCGTCCAAACTACCGATACACAGTCCATAGACTCCATCATCGAAGTCGTCTGTAACAGATACATCGCACCTGTTATCTGCGCCATTGGAATTATAGGAAACATCATCAACTATATAGTCCTATCAAATAGAAGACTGAAAAAAGGTTCCTACATGTATCTGAAAGCATTAACTCTCTTTGACCTTATGGCGCTGTTATTTTCTATTCCATACATGCTGCTAGGTGTCGGAAGCACGGATTATTTCTGGATATGGTATTCCTTGTACATTTTCCTGCCTATGGTGAATTTTTTCACTACATGTAGTATATGGATTACGGTAGTTATGGGAATAGACAGATTTTTCTTTGTGAGGAACCCAAAATGGTCAAGGCGCAGGAATTGGAAATTAAAGACACAGATCAAGATTTTTGCAGTAATTACATTTGCGGTCATAATTTGTGTTCCAAAATTTTTTTGCTATGAAATTCTCGAAGAGGGCGAAATAACAAGGATCAAAGATTCCGAATTTCGCCAGAGTCTGTTTTACCATTACATGGAGATAATTTCCACCGGCGCACTTCATTTTGTTCCTTTATTCATCTTGTCTGTGGTCAATGTATATTTGGTTAAAAAGCTTCAATCTGCCGCAAATGTCAGAAAATTGACTTCCAACATAAACCATGATGTAGAGCTGCAAAGGTCACAGAGAATATTTACAGTGACCCTTGTCAGTATCGTCATCCTCTCGATCATGTTCATACTTCCGGCGTCAATTGTCGACATTTTTTGGTATGTTGACGATAACTTTCCACATGTTAGAAGCATGAGAAACATTTCAAATCTATTGCTATGGTGCAATCTCTCCATCAACTGCTTTTTATACTGTATATTTAATCGACAGTATCTTCAAGTTTTTAAGTACGTGATAGACAGAGGATGTGATCGAGTTAGACGATCGCCGACAAGGTCCACGGAGATTCAAATGGCTTAGAACTAAAGAGCGCATTTCATTATCAACAGCAATATGTGCACTGTAATGTTGCATTCCTTTAACGTACAATATCAAACTTTTTTTTTTTACATTAGTGAACTATAACACAAAAAACCCTTTTTTTCGAGTTTGCTACGTTTGAATTTTTGTTCGTACAAGAACAAAAATATGAATAACTATAATTTTAAATAAATGATTGTTTTGATAAAAGTGTTGATTTAATTCCAGTCTCTTAAGAGGCTAGGCTATAACATTTACAAGGATCAAGAAAACCCTCCAAGTAAAAATACGTTATACGCAGTATATGTGGAAAGGAAAGTCATCAACATTAAAGTTTAATGACACTGATAAACTTCCAATTTATTTTGAAATTGAGATGCAACCAATAGGGCATCATATTATTCTTATATTTCTTCAGCATTGAAATTAAAGGATGAGTTAATTTATTGTGTTTTGCATCTCTCCAAATTATGCACAGCTGCTTTCAAATTTGAAAGTTTTTATTGGAAAACGCACATACTGGATCATATATCGTCAATAAAGAAAAACTACTAAATTAATGTTCTAAATATACCTCTCTAATCTATTCCTATGAGACAAGAAAGATGTCAGGTAACGAGATCATATTGACCTCATTTAGAATTCCTTTTATTTCGACTTTTAAATATTTGATGTACTCTGATCAAACAATTACTCCCTCTAAATTTTGAAAGATGTTTAATTGCTTGAAACATAACCGCTGACTTAACACCCTACTGTCGCCAGAAGTCTAAACCCTGGTCATATTTCCATAAACGACAAATGGCCGACGATTTCTGAAACAAAAATGGGATTTTCGGGCAACATTCGGCACTTCACCGGCCGTTGTTACATGCATGTCCGATTTTGAACTCTTTTTTTTCGTCGGCCGACCGACTTTGTCTTTGTCGGGCCAAGTCATATTTTTCTTCGTCGGTGGCCGATTTCTTCAATTGAAGCAATCATTGAATTCATTGACCAATCCTCGACCACCGGCATACAGTTTGTCAAGTCGGTCGTCGGTCAGTGGACATTATTACCTAGGTAACATTTAAGCCGATGGTCGGGCGATCAAATTTTTCTCGTATCGTCGGCTGAAAAACATGATCGGCCGACTGGTATCGGGCGACTCGGAGAAGTCACATTAATTCCTAGGAACATAATTTTCAAAAATTAAATAATTCTAAGTCGGCCAACAGTCGCCCAATCATCGTTCGCTAAGCCGTAGTTTGATCTTCACCGTCGGCCGTCATTTACGAAAACTTAATTCCTAAATGTCGACCGAACGACGATCGACTTGAAGAGCTGTCTGCCGATGGTCGAAGGTTGGTCGACGGACTATTCAACACGCACTACTGCTTCAAATGAAGTAATCGGCAATCGACGCAGAAAAAAATATAACATGGCCCGGCAGACACAAAATCGGTCGGCCAACAATACAAGAGGTCAAAATCGGGCAAGACAACGGCCGAAGAACAGCCGACTGTCGCCCAGAGAATCCTATTTTTTGCCTCACAATCCGTCGGCCATTGGTCGTTTTTGGAAATGTGACTGGGGTTTTAGGTATTGGGTTTTCCAAAAGTCAGCCGATGGTGAAAATCAAACTGCAGCTCAGCATTCGATGATCGGGCGACGATTGGCCGATTTAATTTAATTTTCCCAACAACCAAAATGAATTTGAATTACCATATTTATGTTGGAATCCGAAACTTCATAAAACTTCTTGCAAAGATACATAGCGGGTTTCAGTAAATGTTCTACCAAGTCTCTTTCTTTACTCCTCACTAAAATATTAACTACAGTGAAGGAGAAACTCCAGGAGTACTGTGCAACAATATATTCGAGAAGGTGTATAAATTAGACGGTATAGGGTTACCTTGTTGCTCTTTCACTTTTGTAGGGCTTTATATATATATATATATATATATATATATATATATATATATATATATATATATATATATATATATATATATAAAAGGTTGAAATTGTATATGCAGTTGTTGTTTTTTTTACCAGAAAGTGCAGTTCAAGTTCAAATTTGATCCTGGTTCGATGATTCTTGACAGTTATACCCGTTGAACTTGGAAAAGATTTAAAAATTCACAATTTTTGATCATTATCTCCGCTATAAATGTGCAATTTGCAATTTGAAATTTTAGCTGCATACGGGGGCATTTGTGGCGTTAAGACACATCTAGTTGACGTAAGTCATCGTGACGTAGGCAGCACAGGTTGTACCATATAAACTAATTTTTTATCCAATCAAATGACACGTTAAAACCAAAATTGAATTGCCAAAATATTTGTTACGAAAATCCAAGTTAGAATAATTTGTTTTTCATTGTTTGAATTTTTAAAATAAATTTACTATATCACGATAATTATCGTACACATTTGGCAGTGTGGTCATTATTAAGAAAATTATAACATTTTTCTATTAACTTTATGGAGACAACCCTTGTACGTGTACATTAACTATGACACCTTTCAGGAAGGAGAACTATCATTTTTTACTTCATGACCTTGACTTAGAAGTTTGACCGACATGAAAAACTTTAATTATGGCTTTAACTTTTGTGAACATGTGAATTACCTGTGACAAAATATTTCTGAATGTAATGTGTAACTATTACGATAATCGACTTCGTGGCCTTGGTCTTGAAGATTAATGAAATCTGAATTTTTGTCCCCCGCTCTCACTGAAAATTGGGGATATTAATTTGGGTCTGTCTGTCCGTCCGACTTTTGTCTGTCTGTAACACTTTCGTTTCCATGCCATATCTCAAGCCTTTGAGCTTTTGCAATGAAATTTTACATAACTCCCTATAGCTATGGCCTAAAAAAGACCTCTGTTGATTTTGAGGTGAAAGGTCAAGGTAATAAATCTGTTTTAAAACTTTCGTTTCCCTGCGATATCTCGAGAAACCCTGGAGATTTTGCAATAAACTTTTACATTGCAAGTCCCTGTGGCCTAAAGAAGACCCCTATTGATTTTGAGGTCAAGGTCGTAAATTCATCCATAATTGCAACACTTTCGTTTCCGAGCGATATTTCATGAAGCTTTTGCAATGAAATGTAATACCATAACTCTCTATGGCCCCACCCGCCTTTCTCAAAGTGGGAGTCCCGCCCCGTTTTTTTTTTCTTTTTCTTTTTTTTAAATTGGTCAATGCTTTTTCCCAAAAGTCAATTGGAAATATTTTGGCATCGATCACGCTCAAACTTTTAGAGTTACTCCCCTTTATATTAAAAGTCGCGTGACACTATTTTTAGCACAGGAGCATGTGAAGAGATATTACATATAATACAGGTTGTCGGCGAACTTTATATTCTAATTACATCTATTAGAACTGTTAAATTAGACACCATGCGTTGTGTAAATTTTTAACAATATCGGGTGACACCCCCCTCTCTTAGATCTGCGAATGCTCGTCTTTTTTCCTTAAGACCGTTCACGGTAGCTCAGTCGGTAGAGCGCTCGCTTCGTGATCGGGAGTTCGAATCTCAGCCGCGACTGACCTAAGTCGATGAAAAATGGGTAGCAACTGTTTCTTCGCCATGCGCTCGGCACTTTGAAGTGAAAGTTGCGGGTCCTTCGGATGAGACCTTAAAAACCGAGGCCCCGTTTCACGGCTGGCGTTGGCATGATAAAGATCCCTCACTGCTCAATTGCCCTGAGTGACGAGTAAAGGTCAAAATTTGAAACCCTTCACCGGTATATGGTGACGTCTCTCTATCAGTGAAAAATTCTCGAATGGGACATAAAACAACAATCAATCATTTTTTCCTTAAGAGGGAGGCACAATTTTTTTGAATTTATCTAGTTTTTTTTAACTTTATATCTTTTTGTATGATGGACAGAAAAAACATGACACACACACTTAAATAGTTGCATCCCAACTAATATTGATTGATTGATTGTGTGTTATTTTATATCTCGTTTGGGAATTTTTCACTCATATAGAGACGGTCACCATATCCTAGTGAAGGGCTTCAAATTTAAACCTTTACTCGGCATTCAGAGCCATTGAGCAGTGAGGGTTCTTTATCGTGCCAACGCCTGCCATGACAGGGGGCCTTGGTTTTTAAGGTCTCATCCGAAAGATCCGCAATTTCACTCCAAAAGTGCCGAGCGCTTGGCGAAGGAACCTTTTTTTATCGCCTTAGGTCAGTCGTGGGCGTGATTCGAAGAGCTAGCGCTCTATAGACTGAGCTACCGTGTCGGTCCATCCCAACTGATAAGAAACTGAATGTTAAATAACAATTTGCATTATAAACCATTTCCTTAACAGAATGGCGTGATAATTTTTCAGCGATTTAAACAAACCTACTGGTATTCTCTTTTTGTTGCTATTGTCATATGCACAGGAAATGTTTGGTTGACATCTGTGATGGCGGTATATATATTAATCTAGAGCCCTTTCGCAGGAATTGATTTTGATGCAGTAATAGACATATTAATAAATTATTTTTTATTGTTTTAATATAAATAGTTTAAATTCATGGGATGCTGTATTAGAAGGTAGTCTAAGTTTGAATTGATTACAATCAAGGTCTCTATCTCTATTTTTATGCCTAGGATTCAATTTTGATACATCATGAGATATGATCAATTCAAGGTCCATTGACTGGTTTATTGAGATATGATAGTTTTGCACGATGTGAAAACGTGTGGATCATGAACAATAGCATTATTATTATCCCTTTCTATCAAAAGTTCCAGACATAGTCAATTCAACATTCCCTAGTGACCTTTTCATTTCATACCCCGGGTATGACCTCGAGTCAACATAATGTCCGTCACAAAGTCGTAGGCGGTTTAAACCTTTTAAACAGATGTTTGTTAAGTCAAGCCACATGTACCAGTATTTTGTGATCTTATCTCAAGGACAGTCAAGGTCATCTCTTAAATCAAAATTACAGGTAATGAGATAGTGAAATGTTATTTAAATGTTTGTGATGTATTTCAACTTGCATTATGTTTCTTCAAATTAACCAACAGATGTGTCGTGGAGCAGGATTCACAAACACTCTTAAAATATATTCAAGTGTAAGAAATTCCTTAAGCCAATAAAAAAAACTAAAGTAACACTGAGGATTTGTTTTTATCTTAAGTTTTATTCATAAAATCTTTAAAGTCTAAGAAAACT